GCCTCCGTCCGCCCCCACCGCCTCACCCCCGCCTCCGTGCCCACGCCGGTCAGCCCCCCCTGCGAACTGGGCAAGAGCGAGGCGGGCTCCGCCGCAGCCTGGACGACGCCGGGACCCTTCCCCAACGCGGCGGGGGACATGGCACAGAGCCTCGGCCTCAACGTGGACGCAGGTAAAGAGCTGCCCTCGGCCCCTCTGGGTCCCCCCGGCTCAGCTGCACCCCTGCTCCCCGCCTCCCTCACACCACCCATAGTAGCGGGGATGGACACACCATCGTGGGATGGCTGGGGTGCTGCTGTGGGGGAATAAATTGGGGGTGGAAGTCCCACCGGAGACACCCGAGCTCTGCCCTGGGTGCCCTTCTTGGGGCTCTTAGGCCAGGCAAGCAAGGAAGGGGAGGGGGAGGATGGGACAGGGCAGCATGCACCCACCCCACCCCAACACCCTTTGAATTTCTGGCACCCTCAAATGTGCCCTGAGGGTGCTGGTCGCTTTGAAGTACTCTTGTCCTGGCCCCGGCCCTGCTCTTGCCTTGAGCAGCGAGAGCTGGGAGCAGGACGGAGCCGCCCAAAGCTCACCGCTTGGCTCCCTCCGCGGGCTGCCCTGCCGGCAGGAGCGTGGGCAGCCGCGGCAGAGCCAGCCCGCTGCTAGATCCTGTGCAGGTTTGTAAACTGCCTCCTCTCCTTATTTATTTTTTTCTCCCAGTTTTTGAGAGGAAAGCACAAGTGCATTTGCTGAGCAAAAAGGGCAGTGGTTTTCCCCTGGTACTGGTATCCTGTGCCTCGTGGGGTGCCTGGAAGTAAGGCTGTGTGGCCATAGCGGTGACAAAAAGGTGACACAGGCGTAGCCAGCAGTGGCAGTTCCCGAGTCCATGGTTGTGGAGGCAAGGAAAGCCCGCTCTGGTGGCAGTTCTCCATGCTGAAGCTGGGTTATTGCAGCCACAAATGGCTCCTTACGGTGGCCTCACGTTAGGCAGGAGGGACGTGTGCCTGCCTGCAGCCTAGCTTGGGCTCTTCTCCTTGGGCTCTGGGGAGCCCATGCTTTAGACTGATCCTCTGATCTCAGCTGGCAGAAATGCAGTTTGTCTTTCTCTGTCCTTAAACGCCTGTACCTATTTTTCTTCTTCCCTTTTTTTCTTCTCTCCGTTCTCAGGTTTGCAGCCTCAGGATAAAAGCAAGGATCTATACTGGTTTTAGAGCTGTCCTTCACTCTTCTTCCCCTGGCTCTCCCCTGTAGATCTCTGCCTGTTAGACATGGTGGCATTCAGAGCTGAAATCGGGTCAGTTTGTAACAGCTTCTGATCTTGGTTTGCAGCTCGCCGTTACTCCTTCTGTGGTGGATCCCTTCTGAGCTGATGTGCTGACTCAAAGACTCCCAGATCCCCCCTTGCCCTTTTCCAAGCCCACCGTGGCCCTGCAGCTCGGGGACAGACAACGGGACTTAAAAGGACCTGGCATTGCAAGGACGGTACTTTAGACTTATTTCGGAGAGGAAAATCCTTCTGTTGCAAGAGGAGAGCCAAAGACGTTGAACTTCTATTTAAGCAGACCCCACACCCAGAACTGCAGGCAGGCTGCTCTGAAAGAGTCAAATGACATTGTGGATGGTGATGCAAAACCACTGGCCTTCGTACAGGGGGCAGAGGAAATCATGGGGTTCTTTTTTAGTGGTGTGAATATTTTTTTATGGCAGTGAAAATTATTTCTTGAATGCAAACATGGGAAAGCTACTTAGCAGTTTTGAACTGGATTTTTACTTTACATTATAGAAAAGTAAAAGGAGAAGAAACTGGAACTCTGGAACGTTTTCGGACTATCAAGGAACTGGTCTGATTTTTCAGCTTTGTGGTTGTGAGCGGCAAGTGTTTGGCCAGGGCCAGCTGCCCTGGGCTTGCAGAGATGCAGCTGTTCCACGCGCAACTGCTCAAACCCCAGAAAGACGAAAACCCAAGGTGGCACTTCTCAGAGTTTGGCACAACATTTGCATTGGATATATAACGGTTGTTTGGTTGTGGTTTTTTGGGTTTTTTGTTTTTTCTTTTTTACAAGAAACATTTTCTGGTGAAAGTAAACCCCTCTTAAAGCAGGGGGAGGAAGGAAACCCGTGAAGAACGGCTCGCCCTCAACCCAACAGCCTTTAGGGAGAACACCAGAAGGAAAGGCATGTGATGGACAAATAGGTCTGAGTTGCCTCTAACATTTCTCTTTGTCTACTTGTTGCTGTCATTTTGTCACTTTAATAGTTGTTTTGTTTTGTTTTTTTGAAAGGGGGAATAAGATATCTATTTAACAGTAGGAAAGCTGCATTAAAGGTATCTCCTTCTTTCACCCTGTGTGCTTTTATGAAGAATTAGAGCTGAATAAGAGAAATGAGGCAAACTGGAAACTTGAGGATGAAATAGGAAAAATACCTGTCGTGTGGATGAAGTGAGTTATTTTATTACTTTGCATTAAAGAGAAATAGAAATCCTAGCAGCTGAAAATATTTTCTTAGTGAGTAAAAAATATGGTGATAAATACAAAACAAGAACATGCAAGATTGTTGCAGTGCTACATTTTAGTGTACGGTGTATGTGTAAGGTGGGTTAAAGTAAGGGGGCTGCTCCGTAACGACAGATGTTTCTTCATGAAGCTGACTGATGGAAAAGGGGACTGTAGCATTGCTATTGCACTGGTAAATTAAAATGCTATTACAGGGTGATGAATAATTAATGCAACAGTGCAGAAATGGCCATTTCCCCCTTTACTTAAAAGCTGACTTTTTTACAGGCATCTGATCCCACCACTACTGGGTTTGGGGTTTTTTTTCTGTTTTTTCTTAATGTAATGTCTTCGAAGGCTGACCAAGTTCAATGCACGTAAGAGGAGAGTCCTAACATTACGCTTCCGACACTAGGAGAAGCAGTAGAAAATAGACTTTTGTGCTGTGATGAGAGTTTTTACCTTCCGACATGCTCACATAATCTGGCATAATGTTCACCACGTGCCAGAAATGGAGTTATGAATAACCCCAACTTGCTTCTCCTAGGTTTCAGCTCAGCAATAACTCCATTGCTGGGAAAGAATAGGAATCCTAAGAGTGTGATAAAGCAGTGTGAGTAAACACCGTGAGAAGCTGGCAAGGAGCAATGTGCGCAGGGCATCCCCGGCCAGAGCTCGGCAAATGGCAGGAGGTGACTTGCCGTGATTCCTTCAGCCAGGCGTACCCCCGAGCGTTTCGTCCTCGCCCCCCAATTAGCCAGAGCCCAGACGGGCTGTAAAGGGCGAGGGAAGGACTCCAGAATTTATATTACCAGTTAAACCAAAAATGTTTTGAGGTGTCTGTCAAGAAAGAAGGCAGCAGCACTTTGCAGGAGAAAAGTAACTAAAAATGGCATTTAACTTTATTGCTGCAGCGGCTTGGAGATAACAGGATCATTCTGTGAGCATTTGCCTGCGGGTTTTTTTAGGCTGTTTTTAAAGTTTTTTTAAAAAAAGATTAATCTGGCTCTAACATTGGTTATGCTTCACCAGAACAGTGTCTTTTTTCTTTCTTCCCCCCCCCCCCCCCCTCCCCCCCCCTTCTTTATGTTGGGGGGGGGTGGGCAAACAC